AATTTTAGTTCTTGCACCGGTGACACTGCTTCATGGTAAATGCAGCTGACTTCCTGCACAATCATGAATGACATTGCATTTAGCTATTATTAACTAAAGGAGATTCGCCTTTGTCTTTTTTCACACGCTGAGATCTACATAATTTATCATCCATAGATGCTAAGTTTCCTTTATATAAACCAGGAGTTTTAGAGAAAATTTTCATAAGATTTTAGGGTTTAGCCATTTGTAACTGAACAGGAGCTTTTTCTCAAATTGCACCAGTACTATAAACAGAACAATATTTGAAGAAGCAGTGTTTCCCCCCTCTATGGACGAATAATAATAATAATAATAATAATAATAATAATAATAATAGAATTTGTATTGCCGCCTATTCGCCCATAGTGACTCGAGGCGGCTTACTGAATGTAAAACCATATTTAAAATTTAAAAAGAAACAATAAAAACTAACAAAAATCAAATAAATTAATACATACAATAGAACAAAATCTGGAAAATAATAATAAATAAATCATCACCAAACTCCCACCCTCCGCCCTGACGACAGCAGATCACACAAGCTATTTGATGGGCTCCATCCCGCTCTTGGTTCCCCAGGCCTGCTGGCATAGCCAGGTCTTCAGTGCCTTCCAGAAGTGTATTAGTGAGGAGGCCATTCTAATCTCTGAGAGAATGATATTCCAGAGAGAGGGAGTCACCACGGAGTAGGCCCTTCTTCTGGGTCCCACCAGGTGTATCTCCCTCAGGGATGGGACCCGTAACATTCCTGCCTCCCCGCTCTAATGGATCAGCTAGATGTGATGGGCAAGAGATGTAATCTCAAATGTTATAATACTAGGCAATCCATTATCTATTGGGTCATTGTTTCAGGGATACCTTACACCTGCTAAAACCCCACATATTGTCCCGACCCTTGCTGTGCCATTCTTGTGCACAATCTCCCTGACTCATGTTCTGCCCCTTATGTACTGTCTTGCACCCTTCCCAATCTATTAGATGCCTGTCATACACTCTTTCTAATCCACATGGTATCTCTTATGCACTCTACTCCTTATGTACCCTCCACGACCTACGCAGTCCCTGTTGTGTGTTTCCTTGCAACAAATGCATTTGGTGCCTCTCATGTACCATCCACAATCATCAACGCAGCCCTCACACTCCCTCTGACCCATGTGGTGCCTCTTATGCAGCTTGTCTGACTTGCACAGTACTTCCCTTGCGCCCCCCCCCCCACTTACTTGCCTACTGACATGCAGCTTCTAACTTTCTGCTGGCTTCCCCATTTAATTTCCTTGTGGGAAGCCAACAATTGTTCTACAATAATATTAAGCCAATAAGATGGGAGATATAGAGAGAATTCTGTTTAGGGAATATTGTTATTAAGCACTTTGAACACTGCTATTCAATATTTTCTGGCTGCAGTCATATTTGGCCTTTTGAGTGGTATGTCAGAAGCTTGACTCAAAGATGGAGTAGTATAAGATTTAAGTGAAATTAACTAGTAATGAATTTAGTAATTGAAATTAAATACACATCTAATAATTTTGCTTTCTGTCATATTAAAAATCAGAAGTTCCTTGCAACTTTTAGATGACCTCTGAGGGCTCTGTCGAAAGCAGAGGTGTCAAATTCACAGCTAGTGGGCCAGATGTGTCATATGCTGGCCACACCCACACCTGGTTTAGCAAAGAGGGATATGTTACATGGCAATATCATGATGACACGAGTTTGACACCCCTGGTCTAAAGTGTTTCAAAACTATATGCAGTCCTGGCCCTTAGGCTTAATACAGCTATTTTGAAACAAATGCTTGGATTTCAAGATTCTGAATTCTATATGTACAACTGTATTAGGTTTTGAAATGGTAGAAAATAACAACATGATTGAAACAGCTAGTCTAATGTTTATTCACTCTTGCCCTGCAGCTTATAGCAATAGCTGATATAGGATAGATGCAGCTGTGAATTACCCAACTGCAGCCTTAAATCTCATCATAATAATGAAGCTTAAAGTAACTCCTCTTCAATGAAGTATCATTGAAATACCTTGTATTTTTAACTCTCCAGTCATTACCTACAGTATATAATCTACTCAGCATTGATAATCAAGTGTTGCAGACTTAAGGGCACCTTTAAATGACAGGCATCATGTTATTAAAATGTCATAACAAGAATTTATTTTCCCACATGCGTTACAGCAGCATTCTTCTGAATTAAAATTAAATTCTCAAAATGAATTATTCTGCATTTTTAATTATCATTTTGTATAATAGTGTATTCAGCGATGGAAAAACAATTTTGTCTAGAAATGCTATTATCACTAATATCTGTATCCATCAATAATGAAATTTGAAGAGTTGTAAATTTTGCATAGAATTTCCAGCTTTCATGTAGGTTTAAAGTGTAAATCAGAATTATGCAAAACTCATTCTTGCCCCTCTGGAGTGAGGTTGGTTCCCACCCTTCTGACCTTCCACAAGAGCTTGAAGACCTGGCTCTGCCATTTGGCCTGGGCTCCAATTACTTTAATCTTACTTGCCTTTCTCTGATGTACCAAAGAAGTCCCATGCAATTATTCAATGTGAAAGTCTCAAGTGATGGAGTTCCCACAACTTCCGAGGGCAAGCTGTTCCATTGGTTGATTGTTCTCACTGTCAGAAAGTTTCTCCTTATTTCCAGGTTAAATCTCTCCTTGTTCAGTTTCCATCCATTATTCCTTGTCTGACCTACAGGCGCTTTAGAAAATAGCTTGACCCCTTCCTCCCTGTGGCAGTCCCTCAAATATTGGAAGACCGCTATCATGTCTCCCCTGGTCCTTCTCTTTACTAGACTAGCCAAGCCCAGTTCCTGCAACCATTCGTTATATGTTTTAGCCTCCAGTCCCCTAATCATCCTGGTTGCTCTTCTCTGTACTTTTTCTAGAGTCTCAACATCTTTTTTATGTGGTGAACAAAACTGGATGCAGTCCTCCAGGTGTGGTCTTACTAAGACTTTATAGAGTGGTATTAGTACTTCCCTTGATCTTGATTGTATCCCTCTGTTAATACAATTTAGGATTGCATTAGCTTTTTTGGCTGCTGCTGCACACTGCTGGCTCATATTTAGCTGGTTGTCCACTAAGACTCCAAGATTCCTCTCACAGTTACTGCTGTTGAGCCTGGTTTCGCCCAGTCTATATGTGTGCTTTTGGTTTTTCTTGCCTAAGTGTAGGACTTTACTTTTCTCTACATTGAATTTCATTTTGTTAGATATGGCCCAGTGTTCTAGTCTGTCAAGATCCATCTGGATCTTGAGCCTGTCTTCTTGGGTGTTAGCTGTTCCTGCCAGCTTAGTATCATCTGCAAATTTGGTAAGTTCCCCTTCTATTCCCTCATCTAAGTCGTTAATGAAGATATTGAAGAGTACTGGGCCTAAGACGGAACCTTGTGGCACCCCGCTGCTTACTTTCCTCCATGTAGACTTAGACCTATTAAGGACTACTCGTTGAGTACGGTTTGCCAGCCAGTTGCGAATCCATCTAGTGGTGGTGCTTTCTATTCCACTTTTTTCTAGCTTACTAAGAAGTAGGTTGTGGTCTACTTTGTCAAATGCTTTGCTGAAATCTAAATAAATTGTTTTCACAGTATTTTGCCGGTCTACTGATTTAGTCACCGTGTTGAAGAATGAAATAAGATTGGTCTGTCATGATCTATTCTTAACTAACCCATGCTGACTGTTAGTTATTACTTTACTTGTTTCTAGATGTTGGCAGATCTGTTTTTTTTATTATTATTATCTTTTCCAGTATCTTCCCAGGTATTGATGTTAGGCTGATTGGTCTGTAGTTTCCTGGGTCTGTTTTTCTTCTCCTTTTTTGAAGATGGGAACCACATCAGCTCTTTTCCAGTCCTCTGGTAGTTCCCCGGTGCTCCAGGATTTTTGAAAGATATGGTGCAGTGGTTCTGAGATGATCTCTGCCATGTGCTCTGCATAGGCCTGATACTGGCAGCATCTTCAGATGAATAACTGCAAAGCGCTCTACACGGGGTTGCTTATAGAGTATTTGGAAGCTTCAGCTTTGCCATGGGCATTTATGGGTGCTAGCCATGGGCATTTATGGGTGCTAGTCATTCAGCACATCTGACACCTCTGTTTTGTGAGCTGCACCAGTTGTCACTGTTCTTTCAGATTCAATGCACAGTGTTGAGTTATCTTTAAAGCCCTTCATGGCTTGGCACTCAGTTACTTGCAAGGCTAACTCTCTCTTTTATCTACCCATCCTGTTAGATCTCGCAATAGAGGCATGCTCTGGGTCCCATCTGTTGGGGTTGTCATTTGGTGGGAAAGAAAAGAACGTTTTATATCAAGGCACCTACCCTGTGGAACAACATTTCCCTGGTGTTTGTCCCAACGCTACTGCCTTTCATAAGACCTTGAAAGCCTGGTTTTGCCATTGACTCTGGGACCCCAGATATGTGGCTAAGTTGACATCAATATGGTTTTTATCTTGTGTTTAAGTATCATTAGATGCCTGCAATCATGTATCTAAGATAGGTAGCTGAATAAATAAATTTAAAAATGAACTTCTCCTTTATATCCTAGCAGCCAAACAGATTCATAAGATTATTCTTTATCTCCATTCATTACTTCATTATATATGAGAATCAAAATGAATTTAAATATGACTTTGTTCTATCTGAGCCTGCTCTGTTAAATCTAAAAACCTTCAAATGATCTGATTTTTTTTTGAAAAGCAGATTAAATCTTATGCACCTAATGATAATAATTATCTATTTTGCCCTCAGCAGGCCGCCCAGAATTAATAGCTCACTGCTGCGGGCAGAGTTAATGACTCTGCTCTCCCTAAGGTATTAAGATTCCAACAAATACTAAGGAAAGTGCCTAGTTTACCCATCTCCTTCCAGCATTTTGATGTTTGACTTGCTTGCTTGTTGTCACAAAAAATACAGCTTTTCAAAAGAGTTTGACTATGATTTTCTTTCTCTCTCTCTTTTCCAGAAATGGAATAGCAAATTGCCGAATGAGGACAGATAGCGAGCAGTCGTGTGGTTCTCCATTGGTGAGTGGTGACCCAAAGGAGGATCATAACTATAGCAGTGCCAAATCTTCCAATCATAGGAGCACATCACCCACTAGTGATTCTGTTTCCTCTTCTTCTGCTGATGATCATTATGAATTTGTCGCAAAAGTCAACCGGGACAGTAGTGAGGGCAGCGAGGTCAACTTCCATAGCCACGAGAGCCATAGTGAGGCAGAAGATGAGAGCAAACGGCAAAACCGAAAAGAGACCAAGGATTCTGTAGCTGATAGCGGGGTCCCCTCTCAGCACAAGAAACGTCAGCATTTATTGAAGATGAAAAAAGTACCAAGTGACACACTGCCTCTTAAAAAGAGACGCACGGAAAAACCACCCGAGAGTGATGATGAGGAGATGAAAGAAGCTGCTGGATCACTCCTGCATTTGGCAGGAATTCGATCTTGTTTGAACAACATCACCAATCGGACGGCAAAGGGACAGAAAGAGCAAAAGGACATGACGAAAAATGAGAACAAATCCATTGACTGAACTTATAAAACAATTTTGTTTCAGCACGTCAGGTGAATTCTAATGATTTGTGGCAATATCAGAAAATATTTTCTTCAGTTTTTTTTTCTTCTCCCATTTTTTTCATTTTTTTTCTTTTCCCCCCTTTTTTGAACCCAAAATATTTGTGTTGTATTTTTTTAAAGGAGATTGAAGCCATAGAACTCATACTGATACTCATCTAATTTTACGAAAGCTTTTCATTACATGAAGACGAAAATAAGTAAAAGCCAAAATTGCCATTGCTTTCTCCAGTTCTTTCAGAAATGCATGGTTGAATACGCTGTGATACCACCAGTTAATGTGAGAAGAATAAAAATTGGCACTTGAAAATACATTATATAATGAGAAATTGAATCATATGGTAGATCCAGGCCAGGCTCTTAGAAAAATAATTTAAAAGCCTTATAATTAAATGAGAGAGAGAATGTATGTATGTATGTATGTATGCGTGCATGTGTGTGTATTCCATAAATTTGAGGGAAGCCAGAGGCCCATCTTCAGAATCAAGAATAAGATAGTGGCATTTGCTTGCATTTGTGCCATAGAAATCTTGGAATATCCACTAAAACAGCTGCTCATACAGTAATGAATTACTTAAGCTTCATGTACTGTATATGGCTCATAATGTGAAGACTTAATACTTTTTAAATTATGGAAACTGAACTGTGTATGCAATGAGTTTCAATAATATAAGGAGAAAAGGGCGGAGGGGGTTGGGGGGGATTAGTGATATTCTTTAATCAATTAATTGTCTTCTATATTTAAATTAAACGAATGTTTTTTAAAAAGCCATAAGCCTGAAGATTGGCACTGCCTGCAAAAATATTATGGGAAAACAAGCTATGAGTTCTTAACTGCCTGAGTGAAAAGCAATCAAATCTAAAATAAAATATGAGTAGATATTTAAAGAGGATCAAAATGAGGAAACCTTTTTGGTAGGATAAAAAATTGATCTCATGAGAAGAGCAAAATACATATGCTACAAAACCTGTCATTAGTATTATATTACATTTAAAAAAACAAATATATTTGGTTGGACAAGAAATCCTAATCTTAACTAAAACTCTACAGTGCTCCTCAGAACGCTATACCTGTTAAATAGCCAGGATACATTTGTGCAAAAATAACAATATATTTCCAGTTATAACCACTGTAGCCAGATTCACTGATCCTGATTTAAATTGCATGGATACATTTCCGGGAGGGGCTCAGGAGTACAAAATAAAACCCCCCTTTTTAATTCAAAGATAACAAAAGTTCTTGTAAGGTAAATAATGTATTTAGCATGAAGCATGAATTATTTTCATATAAATAGAGAAAAATAGAGAAAAGGCTATGCCTCTAATTTTTAAGCCAATAGGCTTAGTTTTGGTTTTTGGTTTTTTGGTTTGTTTTTTATTTTGTTTGGGAAGCAGGTGTTTTAAGGTTTAACCTTTTTCAGGGACAAATACTGACTGTTGGGGAACTTATTCTGCAATATTAAAAAATAAAACTTCATGCTCGGGTAGGGCTTGGATGGTTGAATTATATTGCCTTGTCTGCACATTCAGCCCCTTCCCCTACTTCTCTGTTTTTTGAAGATGTTTGTCCTTTCTTTGTCTTTACATGTATTAACATTACGCAATAATTTTGAGGGCAAAGCAAGTAGTGAGTGTGTATGATTAGACCCCAGGAAAGACTCTGAATTTACTGTATAGAGAGAGGAAACAATGGACAATTTGGTTTTGGAGAGATTGTAACCAATGAGATACACAGATATGCCAAGAAGGGATAAGTTTTGAAAGGCCTTTCATTTGTGTTCACAACTTGACTTGAGTACATGATGGAGAAGCAACTTTGTTATGGCCATACCTGTTATGCAGTGGTAGTCCTGTAGAGTTTAGAATAAGGCCAATATCCCAGACCACCACCACCCCAAAAATGCTAATATAGACAGCCATAATCTTGAGATTATTTTTTAAGACTTGTAGATTGGGTTCCAAATGACTTTTACGTGATCCTGTGAAGAATCCAGATTCTGCAGCTTATAAAATTCCCCTTAAAAATGTGGGTGCTACAGTCAGATGAAAATTCTAGGACATCCTCCCAAATAATAGTATTAGGAAAGCAGTTCTTTTGATCTTAGCTGCTTTATTTTAAATAAATACAGCTTTATAGTAATGGAAGTAGTGACATTACTGATGATGTTTTAAGGTTTAGAGATTAAGATGAGTTGAGAATAGTCAGTGGCAAGAAACTGAAAAAGAATTCGAAATATCTTTAGCTGTCATTGAATTATATTCTAGGAACATGGTATCCATTGAAAACTGATACAAACAGATTTTTAAAATAATGTGTGCCAAATCAGGCTTGAGCTAACAAAGGTTTGAGTAAGTTCAACCTCTGCATTGCCTATCAAGACACTTTTTTGTGTATTCAAAAATCGGAATCCCTTTTTCTGCCTCCACTTTCTCAAAAAAATTGATATTTGCCTCAAAAGCATCAATAATTTTAAGAGTTAATAAAAAGAAACCACATTAGTGAATTAGAAGTTTTCTCTTCATAGAAGAGTGCCATTTACATCTTGCCAGGGGCTCATGATGAAATATAAAATATGTTGTTGCTATTTATTGCAGTGGAATAATTATTCACAGTGAAGCTGTTTAAGTTGTAGACTGGAAGGATCCTGGACTCAAATTTTTATTGCTTAGGCCAATGTTCTGACATTTAGAAAATGTAAAAAGAGAATTGAAGTTATATATTATAATATTGAAGCTATATTATCCCACACAATTCCATCCAAAGTAAAGCAATTTGTCTCAGTAATTTGTCTACTAATCTCCACAGAAATGTACAACATGCTTCCAACAGGACTGTATCCCACTGACTGAACATCAATAATTTAAATGTTTTAAATAAAAATAATATGCTGCAAATAATTTTAGCTATTGCCATACAAAAAGCAATCACAACTGATATTTTTTATAAAATAAAGCAAAATTCATTTGAGAGTAAACATTATGCATGTTGCAAGTTAAATACCTGGATTTTATTAGAAATTATGGAAGATTTACTAAGAATTTACATTCTCTCTTGTACAGTCACAATCAATAGTTGAAACAAACTCCACAACACTATTCTGTTGTGCCAACTTATCGTTAGTGCCAAACTGAAAATTAAACAGGTGGGCCCAAGTTAAAAACCTCAGATACTACTTCTATTCATGGTGAAATCCATCCTCTCTATATGTTGAGCCCTTCCTTGTTCCTACACTTCAGGCATTTTGAAATAAAAGAGAGGGGAATGTTCATAACTGGGAAATGTAAGCAATAATACACAAAACATCTGTTTGGTCTTTCTCTGCTCCCACATAGAGTACTAAAAATAATCCAGGAAGTTGATGCCCATTGTCATTCAGACTTAATTCTTCAAGCTTTTAGGAGTTGTAGATCTCACAGTTGCTTTCTTCTTGTATGAAGAGTCTTTAAGATAGCACAATCTGAGACAGTATCTCAGAAGGCCTTGAACAGAATGCAGAAGGTCCTGTGCTGTATGCATTGTGGCAAAATGGCAAAGAGAATGTGCATATGTACTTAGAGTAATATATGCAACTACCTTCTTGTTACATCATTCTTAATGTGTTTGGGTAATTGAGGCAGCTCTTATATTCTGCAAATAATTTTGTAGGAACTGTGGATTGTCAAAATAACATGTAAGATTGTTTTCCTATAAAATAGTGAATTGTTTACTGCATATTTCTCCTTCCATAAGTGAAAGGGCTTTCTCTGTCCACTGAAAGCTTTTGTTCTAATAGATGGTTTTAACAGAAGAGAAGAAACAACTGTTGTCAATTATCCAGTCCCTTTGTAGCTCCAAATATCATCTCCCACATTATGCTGAAAAGTCCTCCAACTTTCAGAGGCTGCAGCTCTGGTGTGGGAGAAATTCACTTCTGTTCCTCAAACATGCTACTGGGAATATGTTCTGAAGAGTTATCAGAGGTGGATCCCATTGACAGGAATAAAATTTGGATTCAAGCCAGCGTCAGCTTGGATTGTGATTTAATTCTCAATAATATTTTTTCATAACAGACTGTTGCAGAATTTCTTGTCAGCAATCTAGGTTTGTGTTGTCATTAAATCATTTCCATGACAAACTTTTACAAGCAGTGTTTTAATTCTGAACACTCCGAAGTATGCAGTTCTTTGGTGACTAAAAATGTCTTCTGAGTACCTGTGTTGTAACTTTTAACATAAAAGAGGTTGAACATAGTTGTGCTGGAATGGAGGTCTGTATCCGCAATGAAACTTAATTGAGACTTGATGTGAGAATATCCATATATCTCCCTGAAAAAAGTAGACTTACATACAAATGATGCAGAAATAAAGAAGGATTAATAATCTACAGGAACAAATCTTCTGAATTTTAGATCAGCTGTTCAGAATGTGCCAGCTGCAAATCTTTCTAGGAAATTGCTCTAGAGATTGTTCTCCTAGTTGTATTTCTGTATAACATTGGACAGATGGCAACTTGAAAACTTTCATAGGTGATTGTTAGTGTCTTATGTCACGAACAGAATCTGTTTAACTCTATAAACTTGTCAGCAGTTGTTGTCACTCAATTCAGATCATCTGTCTTGGAGAACAGAAGTTATTTGAAAACCATTTTTTAATGACAAATGGAAGTACTTCTTCAACGGAAACAGTGTGCCGTTTCTTTATATAAGCAGGTTCTTGCTACTCTCTGTCACATTCAAAAAGGCAAAACAGACTATGTAGAGTTGAAGTTGGTTTCAGTAAGAAAATTGCCACGGTAGAATTCAGTGTCCTGGCTACTAAATTATTTTCAGGCTGGTTAATTCACTGACCAGAGTCATTCATTCTTTGGGTTGTGTTATAGTTAAGTTTGTGAGTGAATTTCATGACACTGCCCGCAATATATAAAACACTGTTATGCACATAAATGCAGCACTGTGATCTAATTTAAATAACTTTATTATTATTTAATATGTAATATATGTTAATACTTCAGTATGGAAAGAACCATGCACAACCTCCGACCGTCTGTTTTTCTACTATCAGGAATTTAAAGACATAGTTAACCACATGTATTTTACTTTTCCTATGAAGCTATAGTCTTGGTGTAGGATTTTTTTTAAGTTGAATTTTATAAGTATTTACTAAATATTCTATGCTATCATATATATGAACATTCTCATACTTGTTTCTTTAAACAAACTTCCCTTCTGATTGTAGTTCTAATTAGAAAATTGGGTAGAGAGATTTGGTAAGCCAGGGATGATTTTTTCCAAACTCTTCCTTGAATCAAAATGCAAAATTGTAGGTGTGAAATTTTTATAAAGTCCATTGTGTCTGTGCAATTCTTCCACAAGTCTGCATGCCAGCACTACTTCACTAACCAAAAACTATATTTAATTCAATCTCTGGTGCTGTATTTTGCTAATCAATATTCAAAATTTAAAAATAAATGTTTTAAAACCATTTTTTTCATAGAGTTTCTTATGCTATTTTTTTCAATACTAGCATTTGAAACTCTATTTACCTAGAACAAAATTTATTTTTGAATCTATTTGCCAATAATAATGAGGGAATGCCTCTGGTTTGTTTTTGTTTTTTTCAATTCTGAATGAGAACCACCTGATACCCAGCATTGACAAAGTATACACCAAATACCCAGGTTTAAGCTTTAAAAAAAAAACAGAAGTAAAGTCATATCTACCAGCCAACCTTTTGATTATGGAAGAGAAGCTAAATCCAACCTCTCACCCAAAATACAATTGATAGAGTTTAAATTAGAAAGTAAGAGTTGTGGGTTTGCACACATATTTTCCCAATAGATTTGTGTGCAGAAGCTGAAAGGGGAGATTTGGTTTCCTCTGTCCTAATGTGTGTTTATGAGGAAAAGATCTGATAACTGAAAATACCTTACAGGTTTGGATTTCTTCTGACTTGGCTTGACCCTGATTAGGTTTTCCCTTCAGTAATACTATTAAGATGAAAATGTTGGTGCTTGGAGTACTGTTTTAATAATTTCATTAATGAATTTCAAAATCAATTGATTTAGCCTGGTTTCACTTTTGTATTATACACACTCACTACTTCAATCTGCCTTGGGGTCAAACGTTGGAAGAGATGGGGTAGGGAATGATTTCTGTGTGTATGAAAAGCATTATGGATTTGTACATTTTTATACTCTTCTGTAATATTTTTGAAATATTTTTGTTCTGCAGAAAAAAAGTGATGAAGCAATCAAAAGACCAATATACAATATCAATGCTTTGGGGGTGGGGGTCATGAGACCTTCATTGGCCAATAGGTTAATTTAGTACAGCAATAAGCCAATTATGTTCTTTTTGTTTTTGTTTTCTGATTTTATTCCTCTTTTCCCCGAAAATGCTGTACTAGTTGAATGGAACTGCCAGTTTCTTTAATATAAGTGAGAACTGTGATGGGGGACATAAACAGTAATGTTAAGTTGTATTTGTGTTTACCTAAATGAGCAGTCAAAAGGCAAGTGCAATCAGCCAGAAATATGGAAAAATGTTGATCTAGAGGCATACTTGCATTTTATGTTTCTTGATGTGTAATCATATTGCCAAAGACAAACTCTTTCATCAGTTATTATTGTAAATAACACTCTCCCAAAACCTTCCATAAAGTTTCTGTGATGTATTGTCTTCCAGTTGCAATAAAAATTACCGAGTTGCATCAATTGAATAACTGCAGTTATCGGTGTTGGCTGTTATTTATTTAAAACTGTACAATGCAATACTACTGAAGCAAGTATTTTATTGTGATGCTCTCTGAGCTGGGCTGTGTACTTGTAGATGTTCCATTACCGGACCAGGTAACATTATCAGTGCTAGTGAATGTGAGGATTTGCTCCTTGTTTGTATATAGTAGACTGCCTTTCCAGTGTTGATGAGACTGGGGTTTTCTTCTCCATAGCACTGATAATGTTACTGAACCAGGTAATGAAATGTCTAGAAGCAAACTGCCAAATTCAGAGAGCATCAAGGATTCCATGAATGGAATTGAACCATGAACTACAGATATTCTCTCCTATTGCAAGTACCCTACTTAATTAAAATTACCTCAGTCTACTTTAAATCATTTACTAGATATGGATGACTTGAATGGAAAGGTCAGATCCAGACTTCTCTTTTTTCTCAAGAAGGACTTTAAGGGGTCATTTTTTCTCTCTTCTCAACAGCTTTGCCTATAGAAAAACTAGAAGAGGATTCAGAGGTCAGGTTTCTATGTGAGAGAAGAATGGGGTTTGGAAAAATGGAAGAGAGGAAGTCAGGCATTTTCTCCCATTTAGAATCTCCAAATACTGAAAAAAATATAAACATTTGATTAAACTCAATGTTGTCTATATCAACTTATGTTGTCTTAGTCCTTCTGTGAATACCAAAGCACCCTTAAGAGAAAACTGCTCGTGTTGGGTATCCCTATTAGCCATATTTTGGCAGTAGGGTTTTCAGATTTAAAATGTAAAAATAAGTAAAGGATCTCTCTAATTCTAAGAAAAAGAAGTTGATGATATTACCCCTTTAATGACATCACCACATCACTGGAATATTTCTTGCTATCTGCTGGCTGTTTTATAAACTAAATATGACCTCCAACCAGTGAAAATTTCCTATTTCTGTTTCACATTACTAATAGTGCCTCTATAATATTTTAAAATTTTCCTGAACTAAACTTTCTATGTCAAGAATACAAACCTAGATCTCCATGCAAAGATAAAGCCATGTTCTAAAACAATTTTAGCTATATACAGTATATATAACCTGTCATGCATGTTAAAAAATAACACCAATTGTAAAATTGCACTTTCATAAGAATCTGTCTTCTTTCAGGTAAGACTTCCTCCAGCTTTTTTGGGAGGTGGGGACATCTTTACTCTGATAGGCAGCAGCTCTTATTACATGAACCTTTTAATTAAAGATTTCAAAGACAGAAGTAGGAATGTTTTAAAAGTATGCCATACCCCTAATCTACCTTCTTTCTCAAATTCAGCACATTTGCAATCCTGCCTACGTATTTGTGCTGAGTGTAATAAGTCAGTGAAGTCATTGTTGGTGGGTGGGACCTGTCCAATATTTAATGCCTTTTTGCTATTGGAAAGTGTTAGGAGACATCCAGATATACCTTAGCATTGTTCCCAGTTAATGTTGTAGATCACACCATGATCAGCTGTAAGTTGGGGCATATTCCTGTCCAGTATCTGATTTCTTTAAATATAAACAATGCTGCACTTAAATGGTTAGATGGCCCAGACCAAGGGTCCGCAACCCCTGCTCCATGGACCAGCACCAGTCCGCACATGCCAGAAACTGGGCCACACAAATAAAGACCCATCCGTGGGATGCAGGGAGCACCCAAAACCACAGCTAAAACCTCCGTGCAAAAACCTCTCTCCATGGAACCGGTCCCTGGTGCCCAAAAGGTTGGAGGCCGCTGGCCTACTCATTGGTATTTGAATATAAATCTTTTTAACATTTACATTTTTATGCTTTTCTAATCTAGGTGATATATGTTGCTGGTCCATGTATGATATGCCATATGCTAAATTAATAATAATAATAATAATAATAATAATAATAATAATAATAATAATA